GTTTAAAGAAACCATGATGCCTGTATTGGCTTTATTAAACTTTGTGCAGAACGTTTGTTTAGTTATTTTGTTCTTCTTGTTATTCTTTTTAGCTTTCAATTATTTATCCAATTTTTATCACTTAACATTTTGATGATATTTTTCATTTGTTAATTATGTTACTTATATCAATTATGTTTCATCTATATAGAAGGTTTTTGTTTGCTAAAAATAGAAATGTAAAGTAACTATTCAATTTAATAGTTTTAACTGTTATATTATATTTGATAATAATGATAATAATAATAGTAATAATAATAATAATAATAATAATAATAATAATAACAATGATAATTAGAATAAGAAAATAATAATACAAATGATAATAATAACTTTCAATGCTATTTAAACAATAATAAACTCTATAGCGAGAATAATAAATGTATATTAATCATAGCTGTAAATATAAATTTTATTTATAATTCTAATATTAAGATAAATACATTTTTGTCAATATAACAATTATTTTTATTAAATTGCCTAGATTAAAATGCATTGTTTTTGTTGAAAATTCAAACACATTTCACTTACGTTTAAATAAAATTTGTAAAAACATATTATCCTATTAATATATATATATATATATATTTTTTTTTTTAAATAGGAATAAATGGAAGACAATATAATAATAATATACTAAAAATATGAATTATACAATTTTTAACAGTATCAATGTGATTGAGTCATTTTAAAAAACAAAATAACGTGAACTTAAAGACTAGTAGGTGTGTACATCATGATTTCGGTAATTTAGAATTTTGGAATGAACTAAATATAAATGAAATTATTCTTAACCTTGAGTACTATAATCAAATATCATAATAAACATATTCGTTTTAAGTATTGAAAACTGTTTAGTTATCAAATATGTTTGTATATGTACATAGAATTTTACTATAAGTACTTATACTAATTTCTATTAGGGCAGGTATTTATTGTTTCAACTATATCCAGTAGTATTAGTAAAGATATAATAAATTAAAAAAATCTAATTTAGAATATAATTCGTACAAAATACTAGCAATAAAATATAGAAATGTATTTTTCAATGTTATTTTGTTTTTTCTTAATATCATAAGCCTTAATAAATTATATACAATGGACTTAATGTTAATTGAGTAAAATTGAAAAATAAAATATCAACTACCTAATATTTTATACGCTTAGAATATTTTGTAGCTATTTTGTTAACAAATTTTTTTATAATATCAGGACAATAAATTAGTATTTTATCCAGTATATATATATAATAACTTAATTTAAATATATATATATGTATAAACATTCATTTGAGGCTCAAGCGTTAATGTCCTCTTTGTGTTTTTGGACCCACAATAAAGCGAACGGAATAATATAGAGTTCGAATCATTTTTTAAATTTATTTTACGTTACACAAAAATTATACATACAATTATATTTTGTTCTCAAATTTGAAGCACGTATTTTATACATAAAATTAAATATTATTATGAATATTTTAATTAATGGGATGCAATCAAACTTGTGCTTAACTTTATCTACATGCATGTAATAATATTTTACTGGAAAACAAAAACAAACAAAAACCACAGTAGAAATTTTCACACCAAACCGTACACTTTTTTTTTAGTAGTTATGGATTATATTCTGTTACTCTGCGTGTAAAACGTTTTATGTACCTGCCTATATTCATTTATTTTACTTTTTATGAATTGGCGTTATTTACGGTGGACACATAGTTTATAATATGATATTCGTTTTTATACGAAAATATTTATAAATACAATTACAAGTGATTATTTTGGGAAATATAAGACATTAGACGGATTCAGATAGTTTTATAAAATATTTAAAATACAAACATTTAAAAAACTTTAAAACTGTTTATATTGTCTTATTTTTTCAATAGGTATTAGAAATCTAATATCTTTCAAAATTTACCGATAGATAATTTATTTTATTTTCCTCAATATAAATGGGTAGTTAATAATAATAAAAATATTTATTTCCAAAAAATAATTAATTAAGTTTAGAAAATAGAATTAGAAATAATAAAAATAAAAGAATCTCACACATTTTATTTTCATGTATAATCTTTAATTTTGAATTATTAAATTATACATTATAGAGATTTCATTAATTACCTATGCGTGAAAATATTAAGAGGATGTAAAATGTTATAATTGAAAATGTTCCTAATAATTTAAAAAATGAAATTTATTGCATGCCTATTGATACAACGAGAATATCCATGAACAGTGGCTCCTAAACTGAGAGGCACAACTCCCTTGAGAGATTCGAGCACTTAACAAGGGAGCTGCGACAAGAATATTGATATTGTACATATTATTCACTATAAGTACTAATATAGCATTATAAACCAATAAAAATGTTTGTTTAATTTATTCAAGAGAAGCGCGATTAAATTTTTATTTTTGAAGATACGTGAACAAAAAACTTTGAGAACCGCTGTTCTAAACTCTAGAGAACCTACTACCTCTATATATAAACAAAATATGATTAAACTAGTCCTAAAATAATAACCCGTGTTTGACCATCCCAAATTTATTCTCAAAGTTTTGTTATTTATTTTAATAAAATTTACCAAGTATTATATTATATTAATGTGAAATTCTGTTATTAGTTTTTGTTCATTTTTTAGTTGATTCTCTTGACTTTTGTATATTTTTCTGATATATTTTATTAAATAACAATAGTAATCACAATAGCACGTTTAAAAATTATATAGATAGTTCGAATTATTCACTTAGTAGGATGTATTCTTCGGGGATGTATGAAATATATTTCTGTTATTTTTGGCATTTGCGTAAGTAAATAAAGGTTATACTGAAAAACCAATATTCAATAGATGTAAACATTATGATGGGATACGTGATCGGCAACATGGATATTTCACATAACCTGAATAGTCCGTTATTTTTGTGTCTCTAAGGATCTACAGCATGAGATGAAGGTAAACAAATCGGTTACCTATCTCATGGTTTTCGGAAAATTAATTTTCAGTACCAGTAAAAATGCAAAATATTTTAAAAATGAATTTACTATCGTCATTATTGGTGTATTATTTCATATAGAAATTTTGCGAAAATTCAAAACAAAATAAAGAAGTATAATATGATTTCTTTTTAAGTTGTTATTATTATTGCATTTTATTTACCTATACAAATAAACCAACACAATACACTCTCTCTCTCTCACACACACACACACACACACACACACACACACACACACACAATATAAATGTAGTGACATTTTCGCATGAAAAAGTGTTAACTATGTTATTCAACCATTTTTTATTTCGCTATATTATATTGTAGAACTGAAGAAAATAAACAACTGAGGTATAACTGGTCGGATAACATGTATAATGTACGTATAATATGTACAAATTTAAATTGTGAAATAAACATATTTTCTACACGTCATGTTCTATACTGTTACTTGGTATACGTATAAAAGTAATCTTTTTATAAAAATGTTATTTAATGATGTTAATATTTTATCACGATTCTGTTAATCGTAACATGTTTATAATTGATCAACATCAGTCAGAACGATTTCGAAATTCTCTTTTGATTGTCTGTGTTTTATATAAGCAAAATTAAATTATTAAAATAAAAATATATGGATTTCTATAAGTTAAAAACAAAATAATTATAATTATAAAATATCAATTTTAAAATGCAATATTAAATACCTTGAATAGATTGTTTGAACTAAAAATCGACTAGTCAATTTAATTTTAAATTAAATATATTGTATCATGTTTAAGCTAATTGGGATAATTAATTTATACAATTCAATAATTCAATAATTTGTAATTAAATAACTCGATAAATTAAAATTATCTGTTTAATATTTCATAAACCAAGGTATTTATTTTATGTATTCCACGTATCAATAAATTATTTAGGTACTTGGTGAGTATTAATTAATAATTTATTTAAATTTTGTATCTACTATATGCTTTAAAAAAATTTCAATATCTATATAAACATTATTGTTTATTTTATTTGTACACTGCGATTGTATAAGTTATTATTTTTGTGTAATGAGTTATTAGAAAACTGCAGAATTCTGAGAATTTTCCAAAATAAAACCGTGTTTGTAATAGCGTATAAACACGTGCAATTTATTTAAGTGCACTCGGATTCTTTCATAATACACCTATATTGAAATACATTCTTAATATTTTTTACACTGAAAATATCTTTAAAACTTCAATATTTCTAACTTTTCAAAAAAAAAAAAAAATTTATAAATAATTCAATAATATTTTAAAATATTTGTTTTGTATTATATTATGTTGTTATTTTATTGGATCATGTGAAAATATTATTTTATGTAGGTTATAATTATTTGATAATATTTATTAAAATTTTTTATGAAGATACAATTGCTATTTTAACAATTTATAATATCTATAAATTGATTGTAACCGTGTTAAATAAAACATTCAAAGTTGTAATATAATATTGAAAAGCAAAAATAATTAAACACTTGCCAATTTAATATATTTTAATCGGATCTATAAATAATATTTATAGAAATAAAAAAATCAATTTTGAATTTTTGAACTATCAGTTATATTGTTCTATAATTACATTTATAGTAAAATTTTTGTAACCATACGTCTTAAATTGTATTTAAATTATTATTATCCATTTGTTAATAAGCTTATATGTTTTGAACTCAATTCATAATGTTTTATTTAAAAATAATAACTTTTTTTTTATTATGTAATCTTAACTTATGTTAGTGCACGATGATAAAGATTTTTTTTTATTGGTTGAATTGTTAAGTTGTAATTTAAGGTATAATTAAATATATATATATATATATATATATATATATATATATATATATATTGATATTATGAGTATTATAACTTTACATTTGGTTTTTAATTTTTACTTAAACGAAATGTAATAATATTATTTTTTTAGAATAATATAACATTTTTAAAATGGACAAATAAAAGTTTAAAACGTATTTATTTTATTCATGATATTATCGATACATTTTGTAGACTTTTACCATCGTAACTCGTAATCCGGGAACCCAATTTTTACTTGAAATGGCCTTTTCGAATACGCCTCATATTACTCTACAACACCAGTGTTGAATACCGACTACATTTTACACGCATAACTATGTAACATGTGTGTGTACACGAGTAAGTATGCGTGGCGTTCGTTTTGAATTCGTTGCGCAATAATTTACCTGCGGTTGGTGTTAAAATGTCGAGTGTGGTAGTTGTAAAGGTATCAAAAAAAAAAATAATAATAATAAAAAATAAAATAAAATTAAATAAATAAATAATATAATTTTTTGAATTTCACTGTAAAATTAGAGGAAAGTTTACTGACTCGCTATTCGTATGTTTGATCGCTAGTTATGGGACTATTACGCCGGATGTACGGTTTTTGTATTTGAACCGTGCGCTTACATGAACGGGGTGGGTGGGTGGAGATGATAGACAGTATTTCACGTACGCATGTGTGATAATATACAACGATAAATAATAATAACGACGGTAACAGTAACAACAACAATTTATAATAATAATGATGACGGCGATCACGAGAGAACAAGATGAACGAGAACGTGGAAGATACGAAAGAACGAGTATAAGAAGAAAAGACGACGGTGCGCGTCGAATAGGATGGCCGGGGGGGAGGACGAGGATCCACTGTCGTACGAGTTGTACAGCGATGGGGCGGGAGGGGGACCACGTCCGGGTCGGAGGCGCGGCGACGACTCGCATCACTTGAACAGCACCCGCCGGAAGCTGCGCCGGAAGTCCTTGTTGAATATCGTGTATATGACCGGGTTGATGGCCGAGTTCATGTAGCCCAGCCAGAAGGCGATGGCGAAAGCCTGCGGCGGGATGTAGCACACCGGGCACAGCGGCTTCAGTATGTACATGAAGAAGAACGGCAGCCAACAGGCGATGAACGAGCCCATGATGAGGCCGAGTATGAGCGTGGCGCGCTTCTCCTTCTTCCGGGCGATGCGCCGCTTCTCGCGCTCCGGGTCCCGGGGCTTGGGCCGCGGCTGACACGGCACCGGATCCAGGGTCACGCCGCCGTGAGCCGCGTTCGAGGCACCGGAACCGTACTGGTGGTGACCGTCGCCTCCACCGCCACCGCTGCGGCAGGCTATGGACACCTTGCCCGTGTCCAGTATGTCCCGTTTGGCCTTTGCCGATGCCGCCTTGGCCGACTTGCGGCCGACGCCGAATATCGGCTTGCACAGCCGCGACTTGACCGGCTTGACGGCGCCGCACTTCTGCACGTTGCCCGAGTCGGACGACGACGGTTCCAGCTCGCTGACCATGTCCGTGTCCACGGCAACGCTGGACGCCCGGCACCGGCCGCTGCCACCGCCGCCCAGGTCGCCGTTGATCGTCAGCCGGCGACTGCCCTGCGTGGTGAACACCTTGAGCGTGTCCTTGTCGCCGTCCTTGCTCACGTCGCTGGTGCTCGCGTCGCTGGCGTAGTCGCAAGCGATCACCGGAAGCGTGGTGTTGACCGGCGTGGCGGGCGGAGACCGGAAGGCGGTCAGCGGGACGCTGGCCGGCGACGGCCGCGTGATGAAGCTGGTCGTCTGCGACACGGTCGACGGGCTCTGCGCGGCCGCGGTCGCCGCGGCGGCGGCCTTTGCGGCCTTGGCCGCACCCTTTTTCGGCTTCGACGGCGGTTTCCGGATGCCCCGCCGCGCTCGCGCCTTGGCCGCGAAGTATATCCGGATGTAGACGAACACCATTATGCACGACGGTATGTAGAACGAACCTAGTGCCGAATATATCCGGTAGCCCAAGTCCTCGCTCAGCTGTAACATAAAAAAAAAAAAAATGCAAACACATGCGTGTCGATTATTCTCGTCGGGTAATGCGTTCTTATATTATATTACAATATCGATGCGGTATAATGTATATAGGCACAATTTATATGGATAATAATATATTGTTTGTATTTCGCACCAGCAGTTTATCGGACAAAAACATATTGTGGTACCCTACTAAAAGTGTCTAGGATACAAACTTATTAAAATTTACTCGATAATGTGAAATTCTCAGTTGTTCAGGTGGATAATAACTATTTTTATAGTACCTATTTCATTTTATTTTGTCAAACAGTATGGTCTATGACTCTGTGATAACATATCTATCGTTCTATCGTACTACATTTATAACTATAATTATTTACCAATTGTATTTTGATTTATTATTTTTCATCGACGGTGATTGTATTTTAAGCATAGTGACGTATACAGTTTAGTAACTGTATATTATTCACATGGTATTACAGTCGAATTCGCTTATAACGATGCCGTTTACAACGATATTCCGGGTAGAACGATTCTAAGCAATGTATTTGGTTGGTTTTATATCTTATGTGTTGTTACATTTAATAATCCGGATATAACGAAGTTCGGTTATAATGATCAGATTCTCTTGGTCCCTTGAAGATCGTAATAAGCGAATTTCACTGTATTTAATAAAGTCGAGGGTTGAGTGCGTGGTAACCGGTTATAACCATTACTATCGTCGGGGCTGGTAGATAAATGAATGTTGTCGTTTTATCAGATACTGTACCCGTGTTTCCGATAAATTATTAAAACGGCACATCATAGTTATACGTATTAAAACAGGTAAAAATAATATTTTAAAATATGTATGTATATATTCATCGAGCACGAAATATGTATTAGATTATATTCTTGATAGTGCAAATAGTATTGTAGGCCCGTCCTTAGTCAACCGAGAACGTGCCACTGCCAGAAAACTTTCGCGGTTTGATATATCGCGTGTGTTATGTAAGTTTCCTATGATGCTGCGATGTACACGAATACTGTTGGCATATCACAGTTATCTGAACAAGTTTTCGCGGAACGAACGCAATGTTTTCACTCAAAAAAGACGCTTTTGACTAATCAGACTACGAGATAATAATGGGTAGAGTATACGAACTAAAATTTCCTGTCTGATACAGACAATTGAAATACTCCACAAATTGTACTACGTAACAATGTTTATGATATTAAGTTGTATTAACAAGATTAATAATCGTATTGTATTGCAGTAGTTTAACCATGACCAATGATCAATAATAGTATATTGACCTCAAACACGATTAAGATAAAAGTTTATTTTAATGCAAAAAATTATTTGACATTCATATTATTATAATGATCTTAGTTAAATTGCCAAAATTATGTTTAGCACGCGATGGTTAATCAAAGTTTAAAAATAAAATTTATAATAAGTTGACAAGATGATGAGCGGATATTGCGAATTTTTTTTTTTTTTACTGCATTCTTTTAAACGACGTAACATACCTATAGGCAAATATGGAACTTTTTTGAGTTGAAAATATTTTAAAAAATCCAATTTATTTTTAAATAAATTGATATAATGGTTATAATTCTATTTAATTAATATATTGTAATTTTTTTTTTTTTTTTATCACTAGATATCAATTCACTCACGCCCCAAAATCCAATTCACATTCATTTTAAATTTTTTATTAATAAATAATAATACGTAATAATGGTTTTAATGAATATTTAATGGTATATTTAAATACAACTACAATTGATATTACGTGCATTCCTATTCACCATTGAGAGTAACAACTTATGAGTGTAAGCCTTTGAATATTTTTATAAAAGAATACGTTTCGGGCTTATTTAATATTATTATAATTATGTTTTTTTGTGCTCTCTATATTTAATTGTTTGCTACAATATCTAGAATACCTTACGCTGTAATGCTATATTGTAGATAAACTGGTCACACCAAAATAAACCATGCATAGCTCTTGTGTATTTATTTTTTTTCTTGTATAAATATAAACATACGTATATAGTTTAATTTTCATAATTATATATTTATGTTATATGTGTGCGTCACATTTTAGAAGATGCTGGTCAATAGTCTTTCCAAGACTTTCGTAAATTTTAATTTGATTTAAGTTTGGTTAGATTAATTTAGCTAGTGTAAAGGCTATCCAATTTTATACAGTATTTAACCTATGTAAGCTACAGATTAAATATAAAATGAATGATTTAACTGTTTTTTATTTTGTGGATTATCATAATATATTTATCGTATTTTAATTTTTATACCACAATACTGTTGTTTCTGTTTAATTATAATAGTTTATTTCTTTAAGTTTTAAATTTATTTATTAATAAAGATTAAAGAATTGAATTGAATAATTGGCGTCTAATTAGAGTATGCAATTTATCACTTTTTTTTTTTTTTAATTGATCTAATAATATCATGCATAATTGATTTTTCTGATTAAATTTTGTTTTTTCCATAATATATACTGTTATTTAATATATTTTATATAGTTTTTGTAAGTAGTGCTAGCTTATCTTCGGGTTGTTTAATTGTTTTCATATTATTACGATTATTTTTAGTTGTTAAATTCATAATATATATATATATTTATACATTTTATTATTGATATTGGTATTCTGATTTTCCATTAAACGATGCCATTGTAGAAATAATAAAAGTTAGGATAGTATTAATTAGTAATTAAAGAGTTTTAACAGTTGTCTCAGAGTCTCAAAGCTTCTAACGAATAATACGATATGAAAATTATTAAATAAAGGTCAAATTGGACAATCAATATTGATTAAAGTTAAAAGAATTTATTAGATCTAAGTAAATTGTTCTTGAATTCAGTAGTGTCAAGTAGATTTATGTTTATATCTCCTATTAGGATTATTTTAATGTTTGTAGGAATTTAGTTTATTGATTATGGTTGCACCTAAATTTGTAATAAATATTATTATGTTACTATTTGAGGAACTATAAACTGATTAAATTACATATTTTATTTTGTTAAACGTAATTTTTGTGAACAAATATTTAGCATCTAGTATTTCTAACTCTATCATTGTAAGGAATATACTATCATTATCATTTTGAATAAATATAATTACATTTTTGGATTTGTATGTAATAATATTGAAAATTGCGTTTTAGTAATTATTTAATTTAATAGTATTTTGATTGATGTTTTTACTTGATTCATGATTTTTATGAAATTATTATACAATTTTTATTAATAAGTACAGTATTAAGGCTCTCAAGTTCCAAAAGGGCTCTGAAATGCTTTTTATATTAAGAAAAAGTATATTGAACTGGATTAATTATTTTAGAATAGCGTGTTAACCTTATCTAGATATTTTATTGTTGTTAATATATTATTATTGTTTACCTTCATTAATTATATCAAAGTGAGAGCTAATTTTGGTCATTAATGATAATCAATATTGATTACGTTACTTTTAGACATATAAGGTTAGCAATAAATATTAGCAAAAAATACCATAAAATATAAGAACCTAATATTAAAATTATTAAACAAAGATATAATATAATATGTCACATAGTAAATTTTGGTAAAAAAGAGTAGACAATAAATTTAATATGTTATAAAAGTCTTTTAAAATATTTATAGGTTATGATTTATATAAATCTGTACTAGACTTTATTTTGGTAATTTTTGAATGTTCATTCTCCTTGACAAGAATATCTACGTTGTTGATTCAGTTGAATTTATTATCATTTGATTTATATCGTATATCAATAAAGAATTATTTTTTCTTGATTAGATGTTCATCTATATTTATGCATATTTTGCTATTAATGGTCCAATATATACAATTTATTCGCATTTAACTTTTTCCCTTTGTTTGCGTTCATGAGATTTCTTTTCATTTAATTATATCCAGTTTCGTTACGATTATCGGATCTTTATTACACGATGTTATTATTCTGACTGCTTCAAATACTGTAATAAAAGCTGTCTGATAATTATTTGTATCATAGTGAGACAATTTTCATTCAGAAATTTAAATATACCGTTAATTTCTTCTTCCATTCTAGCTTTTTATTACTCTTATTGTATCTTATTGTTTGATTTTTAAAATTTCGATAGTTTACCATGTAATATTCGCTTTTATTATTTAATTTATTTTTTTTTCTTTTATTTTTTTAGTGTTTAATTTCGGTCAACATACGAGTAGATTCTAATTTTTGTTGAAACCTTCGAAATGATTGTCAATAAAATTCATTAATTTTAAAATATCTTCCGTTTTTACATTTAATCTAGTTGTCGAGTCACTTACTTTTTTAGATTCCAGACTTTGATACATTGGGAATATTTATTTAGAATCCATGATTTTTAAAAATTGTTTGAAATTTATTTTGTGATCCAAATACATTAATAGCGGAATCTATTATTATAGGTGAAGCATTCAATTGTATTCTCGTTATGGGGTTGTATTCACAGCCCTTCATGCATTCATGTGACATTTTAAACACAGTGTTTAAACAATGAAATAAATGAAAAGATATTATCGTAAATGTTGGCTTAATCACAGGCACTACGTAATCGGATGACGTACCAATTTATACTGTGAAATTGCATTACTATATTATTGACTATTGTACTGCTTGTATATATAAATTTGTGATTTATGATAGAAATAAAATTTCAAATTTCAAATTTTTAAAGCGATTAATTAAAATTACATCAAATAAAAAAGTAATTAGTGTTAAATTTAACAGTCAATTCAATGACAGGCACTTAACGATAGTAATTAATCATCTGATTTTTGTTTTCAATGTGTAGTTATGACATGGCATGGCGTATTTAATAACAAAATGATACGTTTAATATAAACTATTAAATAACTAAAACATTAGTATTATATTATATTATGCATTGACAATTATTATAATGTACACAAAATAAAGGTTTCTTTTTCTTCAGAAAAAAAAAAAAAAAGGCAATTAAGAAAAACAA